TTATGAACCTATTTGTTTAGTGCATCTTAAAGAGACTGTAAATCTTTATTGGTATATTTTGAAATGGTCATGTAAATCTTTGGCTGGTATATCAAGAAAATAGTCATAGGTAACTTAATTTTTTCCTGACATTCACTGTAAAACGTTCAGGGGTCCTACCATTTCTGTTCAGGAAATCTTGTAGTTTATTGTTATTTAACAGTATTAAGTGAATTTTTGTATATTTCATTTTAACTTTATTTGTGAATAGTGATTGTGGCATGTTTGGGGGTGTTTTATTAATATTTCATTGAAACTGGTAAATTTGAATTGGTTTTTTTTATTATTATTATTATTATTTTCTGGAAGAGAGAAATTCATGTGTAATGGTGACTATTGGACCACTACTGCTTTTCAGCATTTGTAAACTGGTTTTACGTTAAATCTTGTAGACCTAACAAACTGCTGTTATTTCTAACTGACCGACCTGTATTAATATTGTACTTTTGAAAGTATAAATATTATGTGGAATTCTTTGGTTTTGTTTTTAAATTTATAACAACAAAGGCCCTATGTTGTTAAAAATACAGACTAAGTGAACTTGCGGTTCTTGGGCCGTTGTTGGAAACATTTAGCTAGGTCTGTGTGTTGTGGGAGTCACCAGTTTCAACTTTGGCTGCTTAATGATCCATGCAGTGCAGAGGTAGTGGCAGTGAAAAGTAATGTGGCTTATCCATGTCTGAGGCCGTTCAGGATCTTAGCATCAGCATGGTCCACAGCCTAACTATTGGCACGTGAGTCCTGCATGTCACACAGTATCAGAAGTCTTGCCAAGGTCTAGGAGCGTGATACATGTCTTGGATACAAGTGTGGGTCTCCCACTGATTCCAGTGGGATCGTTCTGTGTGTATCAGAGGCAGATTTGGCACTGATGAAAAACCTTTGTCCTGAAATAGTTGTTATATATTTTTTTATAGTTGCTATGGATCTGATCTAGATTTTATACTGATTAACTTTGTAGGTGTGGTGGTGTTGAAAGAAGAAGTATCAGAAAAACCTCTTTTTTTTACAGAAGTAGTGAAGATACAGAGTAAATGTTCACTGTGGATAAATGTGAGGTTTAGCATTTCTAGAACAGTAATATAGGTTATAAAAGAACAAGTAATAATGTGACACTAATGAGTAAAGGACTTAAAGGTTTAACTGGTCAAATGAAGTGCATTAATATATTTAGAAAGGGATCAGCTGCAGCTGACAGAAGGATGTTTCCATAAGAACTTGGCATCCATGGTCAAGCCAGTTTCTTTTGGTTTAATTGTCTATAATTGAAATTCCTGCATTAGCAGAGACAGTTCTGTGACAGCTGCCTGTTTGGGGCAATAGTCAGTGACTATGAAATTGCTGGGCATTTCTCTTTGACATCCTTCTCGTGCGATTCAGTGTTCTGCCTCCTGCCTGACAGCATCAGGCACTGCAAACTTGGTGTCACTGTCCCCAGGAACTGTAGGGAGTGTTGGCCTTTTGGAGAAGACCTCAACCATGACAAAACCAAGCAGATAGTGGCTGAAAATGAATGACTTCCGAGATTTGGTATGACACCTTTGCTTGAAGATGAGTGATTGGTTAATGAGATGGCCTGCAAGTTGTTGCTGATTTTAAGTAGCTATTTTTCTAAGATACCTGGTGTATTCCTTCTACCCCAGGGCTGGAATGCCAAGGTGCATGGATAGGTTTGTGTAGGAGCAAGGTGGGCTTGAAGACAGGAAGGAGGCAGGTGGTGATGAGGTTGCAAGCACATGCAGGGGAAGGTTGAACGGGAGAGAGGGTGGGACAGGGCAGAGTGGGAGATGGAAGGGGCAAACCAGCTGCTCAGCAGTGCTCTAGTGGAACATGCATCTCAACACAGCTGTGTTATTTTTGTGCTGCTTTACCACAGCATTAAGTAGCCAGAGTGTATCCCTGAATTGGGCAATAAAAGTTAAAATAAACAGTTGTTGAAGAACCAACATACTTTGTATTTGCAAATCATTTGAAAACACTGCAAGGTCGCGTTCTTTGGGCTGCTTGCTTGTTGTTTGTGCATGGGTTTTCCAGTGTAATAAAGGTACATTGTTTCTGTTTTGCAATGTTAAAATGGAATTAAGGTTAAAAATACATTCAGTTATTGAGGACAAATGTATGAAAGGTATATTGTAAACATCCGCAAGCCAAGTATTATAAAGCCAGGAAATACCCAGAGCTAAGGTCAGACTTGAATGAAATCCAAATGAGGGTATGGAAATGCACAGCTATAGCACATAGAGACACTGAAGAAATATTGGGATTTTCCTTGTCTGTGAGAATGTGTGGTCACAGACGTGATAGTTTTGTCTGGTCACCAACAGGCAGAGCTGAAATAATTTGTGCACCTCCTTACCACATTTTGGTACCTTTTTCTCCTTAGTAAAGTTTGGCTTTGAAACAAATGCAACCTTTCTGTGAAATTTCTTAATTCCGGGGAGGAACTCGAGTACTTCCTTTCTACAGATTGTTTGTGTTTGTCATTTTAGAGGCAGGGCTTTTAGAGATTAAATGCTACTGTTCGGCTTGTGTGTGGGTCAGCAACATCCAAGTATCTCACCAACATCCGTGTCAGACCAATTTAAGAGATAACAGGTATAGCTAATAAAACCTAAAGGAAGCACTGTACAAGTGTTGAGCTAATTGCTAAATGGTAAAGTAAGCTCTGACTGTACAGTTGGGATGATTTTAACAAGTGTAAAAGCCCAGTTGATATACATGGGCTTTGTACTTTGTACCATGCAGCCTTTTCATCTGTGGGGTTCAGCTCCACAGAAATCACACTCGTGTTCTAGGCCACAGTGGAAATCTGTGTTGTCAGAACTGTGATTAGAGTTTAGCTATTCCAGATCTATTTGTCTTAATCTTTTGTGTGTGGTTCTCAGTGGGCTCTACTGTGCCTCTCTTGTTAAGTGAAAGAAAAAGATTGATGTCAGTGGAAAAATGTGTACATTACAATTTTCCACTCTTCTCACGTTTCCAAAAATCCCTCAACTCGTTTAAGTTCTGTCATTTTTGAGCCAGCTGAAATTGTGAGTGCACACATATGCACATACTGTTGTAAATAACTGCTTAATTTATTGTCCTGGCTGCATCCTCCAAAATCACTTAAGAAGTGGGCCTGCCCGAGCAGATGGCTTTTATGGTCCTCCTAATGAAATACGAGTCTCGTTCAGCTCAGATGCCATACGTTGAAACACATTTTTCCCTAGAGAGCTATGAAGTTCCTGTTTGTTGCAGTGGGATCTTCCTGCTGATGGAATTGCCATCACTGCATATTGCAAACCGAGAATGCTCTTCCCTATCCTTGCTGCAACATACTCTTGCAGAGAGCCTCCCTCCATGCCCTGCATGGCAGCGCCAGTGCTGCCTGCTCCTCCCCTTTCACACCCCAGGCTTCTTTTTTCCAAGACTTTGTTTTACCCCCATTCCATGTCTCTTTCTTTGCTTTGCAAGAGGAGGCAGCTGGCCTGGAGCCCTGTTAGGAATCATTAAGGTTACATTTACTCATTTGCACGTCTTCAGAGTGAACACTAACCGATGGCAATCTTTCAAGAAAAGTAACACAACATATCCTGTAGTGCTCTCCTCAGGGATGCTTTTCTACAACTATCCCCCTGTGCTCAAGGCAGGCTGTGATGCTCATTGCTCCAGAGTCCTTGCCTGGGGTTTGTTCTCCTTTATTCATTTAAGTGAGTTTACTCTTCTCCTGACTAATGCTGTCAGTCTCTTTGCCCTTAAGAAATGGGTTTGTACTACACCTGTGCAGACAGAGCGCTCACGTTAATCGGGAGGAGCAGTTACAGTTTGGGGCTAAAATGGATTTCAATAGTTGTGATTTTTTAACAACTTCGTAGAGATGTTCTTAAACCTGCATGACCCATGTTTGTTTATCCTACAGGATATAGAGACTGTCTCAAGATCAGAAGGGAGCAGTAATTCCCTTATGTTAAAGAATACCCGTAGTTGCTGTGCCTTTTCTGAACACATTTGGTGGTTGTGATGGCTTCTGAAGATGCTTCCTGTAGGCACAACATCACACAGCCTCTTAACGCATCCTTGCTCTGTAAAAATGAAATGCCACGGTCTGTTTTAAAGGACCATCTCCCTTTAAACACTTACCATCTCGTTGACAGTTCATTATTTCTTTGGTAGGTACCTCCAGATTGACAAGTGCCTGTCTGAGGAGACAAGTTTTACTCAGACAAACCAAACTGTTGATGTAACGGACACATGTCAAGTCTTTCCTTTTCTGAAGTTTGTTACCACCCATCACTGGTTTCCCCACCTTGAAAGTTTTCTGTAGAACTGGAGCCTCTTACCTGTGCTGGGGCAGAGGATGCGTGCGATCTCTTGGCAAAGCTACCCAGTAGCTGCTGTAACCCTGCTGGTGGATACTGCTTTTCTGAGAAAGCAATGTAAAGATAAGGCAGAAATAGCCTGATTGTGCACCCAGCCTGTATAGAAAACATTTTGTGTATTGCTGAAGCATGCATAAAGTGTAATTTGTCCAAAAATCCCTCAAGTATCAAACTGCAATACTACCAAGAAGAGAGAGTAACTCCTGTTTTGTTCCCCAGGACTGCTGGCTGGAGCTCTCCATGCCACAGAAATACCACCGCTTTCACAGTATTTATTTTAAAAAACATTTATTTGATTTTTCTCTACCGTTAAAAGATGCCTGTTAATAAAATTCAGTAGAAAATTACCAATAGAGTATTTTCTCTGAAGCACAAGGTGTGTAACAATCTTGTGTTTTGGGTGTGACTTGAGAGGCTGGACTTTCTCTATATACATCCTTACCAGTAAGAAGAATGTTTGTTCCACATTATTGACCACTTGGAAGGCAGATTTCATTTTGACATCCTATTTTTTTTTAATTGAAAAAACAAGTAGCAGAAGATGATGCATTCTGTTGCTGCCTTTTACCCGCTTGAGGATGAGAAGACAGCACTATTTACTTCCTGTTTCTGGGTGTCTTCCCTGAAGTTTTCCTGGACTCTTTCGAATCCTTTACAGTAGTTTGTTGAAATAGGTTTTTGTCCCAGGATTGCTATTTTCTGCTATCTTTAAAAGTCACTGACAGGGCAGGAGGGTGGGAGGGGAGGTGTGGGTGTGCTGAGCCTTGAAAAGAAAAACATCTGCCTTACTCATAGTAGAACCTTGGAAGAAACAAAACCATGAGAATTGGGATGCTTTTTAAGCATCACTTCTCTGTCACACGCTCCCTCTTCTCGTGTTCATCTGGGGGTTTTGCAGTGTTATTACTCAACAATTCTTATTAAGTCAAAGACCAAATTTTCATGAGTGCCTATTCTTACTTTTTAAACTAGAGAGAAACAGTTCATCTGTATGCCTTGTTCTCCCATTAGCTGTATCGGCGTGTACAAGGTGAGACTCTCCTGAAGTAGGCATTTATGCCTTTTTAAAACGAGACGAGAGTCGGCTCTGGAGTGCGAGTAATTGCCTCTCAACTTAGTCAATGAAAACATTCCGTGTACCTGGGAGGAATCCATTGAAAGAGGAATGTTTGATCTGTGAGCCCTGTGATTTATCTCCACTGGTCTAGTCAATCCCTTCAGTTACACGCTGCCTTCTCTTCCAGTCTACTCCGATTTGACTTCGTATAAAATATTTCTCTCCGCTCATAGGTTTTGCATAGGTTCATCTTCTGGTTTTGACTCCTCAGGGTGGTACCTCCTGGAGCTCTTAAAATGCTGAATCGAGCAAATGGCTTCCCAGGCACTTCATTCTTTTTCCTTGTGTCTTGCACCTAATTGCTCTGTTTATCAGCACTGGTACTTTATACAGATACAGCAGGGTTTTATCCCATTAATTACTGAGAGGGAAGCTCATTTTTGGTTGTGCAACCCAGTAGCCTGAGGAAAATTCCTGCTGTCTTTTGTCAGATAACCTCTGCCCCAAAAATGGCTTTTCAACATCAGAGCTGCATTAATAAAATGTTTATTTAGCACCTTTCAGGTTGAAGGATCCAAAAGCAATTTACAATTAACTACACACATCAGCACTGAAATGCATCCAAGCAGAAAATCAGCAGACAACTCACTGTGTAAATTCCAGAGAGAATGGACTTCTGGCCAGCCGCTTGGCCAAAAAGCAAAGTAGAAGCGCCAGTGACCTGCAGCAAACAGGATCTGATACTGGTTTCGGTTTTGAAGGTCTCATCTGGAAAACCTACCTACACGGTAAAGCTGCATTCAACCCAATTTAGCCACCTCAGAGAGCTGAAGATTTGCATCAGCCCTGCCAAGATTAGAATCTGTGGTGCCAGGGAGTCTAGCCTAATCCTAACCTGACATTTAGATGACTAAACCATTACCTCAAGGTAGAGGACAAACCCAGTGAATTCAAGTTGCGAGCATATAGTAACGCAGTGCTGGTTTTTAATCCAGAATTCAGATGTTTATACATAAACATCCCACATGTACAGTATGCCTCTTTACAAGCACCAGGCATTCATTTACAGTCCTGTAACTTTTCCAGCTTTGGGGGAAGGGGAGATGCAACCTTCTGAGCTCTAGTAGCTAGAATAATCTTTCCAGGGAAATAGAAGGCACTTGGCACGACTGAACAAAGCTCCTGGAAATTCTCTGTCAGGAATGATCCTCATTCCCTGGGAGAACAGAGGTTACCTCTTGTCTTTCCAGCTGTAATGCTGACAGTTCGTAAGAAGTATGGGCCAAATAAATTCTCCTGTTCTACAGAAGTATTCTCCAGTGCTGGAAATCTCTGGTGAAAATACACAGCCCAGTTCCTCCCTGTTGCAACGCGACAGAAGAACTTGGGCGTAAAGGTGGAAGTGTGGCTTTGTTACTCCTCAGTGCATCTCGTGACTGTAATGTTGGTTACGTTTTCCACTTCAGCAAAGAAAAATTATAAGGCTATTTTTTATACAATTTGAAAGCACTTAATACAAAGGTACATGAATACACTGCTGCTTATGGCCTATCCGTGGAGAAATACTGAAATACTACCATAGGGCTGTTCAATACTAGTTTTTTTTCTTTCATCTTTTTATCTTAATACTAGAAAATATATAAATCATTTACATGACATTATGCAAAAGAAGGCACAGCCGGTTATAGTTTATACAAGCACAATGCATAATATGCAGGAAAAAGGATTAAAAAGAAGCTTCACATCCTTATTAGATACATTGTTGCAGTCCATTAGGAAAAGTACTTCATCAACAACAGAAGTGTTCAACACTTGAGAGCTACGATATAAAAAAATTATAATTCATTTAATGCAAAACAGATTTATATATACTTTTATATATAAACACTGTTTAAAATGCTAACATAATAAAAGTAGATTATCCATGTAATGAAAAGTGCAAACCAAGGTAATAGAGGGTTTTCACAATGTCCTTCTCATGACACAGGAGATGATAAAAAACCTAGCCCATAGGAATGAAGTGTTAAATCCACCAATAAGTCCTTGGCGAGATGAGGCGTCATCAGGATTTCTGGGCGTTAGGGGAAAGCAGCACTGGAGAAGAGGCTCCGTCCAGGCTGGGGAGCGGCACCGGTATGTGACCGTTCAGCAGAGTTGGAAACTGCAAGAGGCCAAAACGTAAAAATTACTCCCTATCTCAAAGCATTCAGCCCAGAAGCACGTGGATTTAGCATTAGGAACCGACTCCAGATGATTTCAGGATTTCTGAGTCCTGCACACCAAGATGTGTACCAAATGTCTGCATCAGCCATTAGGAATGTAAAATAGAGGACAAAACCTGAATAACTTGTAAATGTACAGGGGTCTGTTACTGGCTATATTTTATATAGCAACGTAACGACACGTTTATCATCACCCTGGGAAAGTGAATACTATAGAGAGATCTTTCCCACCCATTCTGCTTCCAGAAATGTTTTTCAGTCTACAAAATATTAATTATAATACATCCTTTGCATCTGCCCTTAATAAAAGCTACACAGGAAAAAGCTCTGCAAAAGTTAGTCGAGGTGTACATTTAGGGCAGAAAAAGCACAACTGTGAATATAAAGCATGGGGAAAATTACTCTCAAGTAATTACAGTTTCTCCCTGTATTCACTAAGAAACCATAAACTACCTACACCAGATCATTCAGTATGTGAAGCAGAACAGATTGACATTTAGTATTAAGCTTCTGCTTCTGAAATACTGTGCAAAAAATACTTGTTCAACACAGAAGCTGTATACTCCTAGTTCATGACAGCAGCCTGACTGTAACTTGCCTGCAGTGATGTGTATTGACTAGTTCTTAACATCTGACCTGAGAAGCACCAAAGCAAGTAGGCAGAATAAACCTGCTGCAGCATGAGGTGGGAATTATCCCAGCAGTAGATACTGATCTGGCCTCAAGGCCCAGCTCCATGAGCTGCCGCTGGCTTTCTGTTGGCTTGAGAGAGGCAGAGCGGAATAACAGCTCTCAACTTCCAAGTGTCTGCTGTAGTTTTACCCCTGATCAGATCAGTCCTTCAAAAGCCAACTGTGCTGTAATCAACCTCTACATGGGCACGTAATCTGCTTGTAACAGCTTTACTCTTCCACTAAGATCCGGGTTAATGATAGCTCTCTTCCAACCTTCAGCTGAAAACCACTGCTGAGCAGTGCAGGGGCCCGCAGGGGTCTGGCTCCACACTCCTGGTGCGGCCAGGACTGGCTGGTACCTCTGGCTGAACCAAGCCAAACCTCGAGAAATGTTTCCATTGCTCCTGCCAAGGTTAATTACAACACAGAGCTTGATTGCGAGCTCTTGCTGTTCTTGTCTTGGCTTCCAAAGCCAGACATGTAAATTGCAATGTGTTTCATGTGATTTCTAAAGCTAACAGAAAGAGGGCTGTGTGATATCTGGTGTCTGTTGAGGCAGGTGGCGTGCTGGCACTATGGCCTGAGATGCAAACGATGCTAACATCCTTCCCCTGGTCTCCAGCCCAGCCCAGCTCTTGTTCTTCTTCCTGCTAGAGTCCCTGGAGCTCTGATGATGCCTTTTATTTGTACATCTCTGTCGGTATCTGGGACTTGACTGTGCCCACTCAGTGCCACCATCTATTCAGCAGCAACAAAGAAAATACACTTCATTTAGTTAGCACTTAATCTAAGCTAACTTGGCAATCCTTACATATGACCGCATTTTCTTGAATTAACCAGTTCTGTGCAAGTCTCTTGTGACTCCAGTTATACAGTCATTTCACACTAATGGCGAAACATCAAAACAAGCTTAATTACACAGCAGTGTGGCTTCAGAGGGAAGACCTTCCAGGTAGGTCATTGTATCAAGGTAAACTGTGTGGAAGGAGACCGCGGATTTTAGTGATGCTCTACGTGGGCTGCAAGGGTGCACAGGCCTTGTTTATGGAGTTGCTTTCACCTTATAAATACTGAAGAAGAGTTTTTACTGGTTAATAAGCCTCTATGTGCTCTGTGAGGGAGTATGCACATAGTTGGACAGAACAGGCTCCTCCTGGTTCGTTAAAGGAGGAACTGCACTTTCCCATAGGCATAGTCTGGGTTTAGCAGGACCAGGACACGGATGGCTCCCACCCTGGTCCTTGCACTACACAAAGACTACAGCACTAAAGAACAGCAGGCAGTGTCAAGCACCTTGAAAAGCAGCACGCACCTGAAAGAAAAAGAAATGCAGGAACCCAACCTGTGCTCCACGCATGCCAGCAGACAAGGGTGCAGGGGCAGGCAGGCACTGCAGAGTTGCCCCAGCCTCTAGCTCCTGGCAGGATTCTGATTCCTTCAACAACCACCAAATGCTCTTTCAGCTGCTGGTGCGAATGACCAGGTGAAAGCGACCTGAGCTCCAGCTCTTTCCTCTGTTCCTTGACCAGGTGCATGAAGCACGGGCTGGCTTGTGCAGGCAGCACACGGAGAGCTCTGCCCTGATGCCTATGTAGGTCGACCCAGTAGCTCTTGTGGGCTTGGCTGTGCTTCAGCTGTGTTTGTCATTTCCTACCTGCTGTTAAAACAAAGCTTTGTGCTCTGCACACTTGTGATTGTGGCCTTTGCCTGAATCAAGGATCACTGATAAGGCCCTTTGGGTGTCTCAGGAGGCAGAAAGCCAAGGCCACTCTTCAGTTCCCACGGGCGTGGCCAATGTATGTTCATACAAGCTCATTCCAGGCCATGGCGCAGGCACTTCCCTCCTGAATGAAACGTCTGGCTGCTTATAACCATGTGTGTAAAAGTAAGGTCCCAGGATAAATAAGTTCATCTGAAACACAAACAAGAGCCCCATGGCTCTGTCCTGATGGAGGCAGGAAGACTTACTACCCCAGTGAGAACCGCACCTGAGCAGATCACTTGAGTCTGACTGCCCAGCACCAGCCCCAGAGCTGGGCTGTCAAGACTCCCTGAAGGTTCAGAGACCAACCCAGGGTCCCTGCCTAGCCCCCTCCTTTGTTAGTGTTGGTCCTCCGCAGTGGTCAGAGAGTTCATTCCAGAGGTGAACCTGCATTCTTCAGCTGTTTGCATGGCCACCAGCCGATCAGCATCATTCCTCCTGTGAATTACTGAATCAGCTGTTATGCAGCAGCTAGAGCTAATACCATCCCCGCCATACTCTTCCTAAGCCTCAAGCAAATGCAGCTGCATGCTGTAGCCACCACGGTTTACTTCATAACTTTTTTATTTACTACATCTCTATCTAACTTTTGACATTTTTACTCTCCCAATACCCATGAGCAAGAGGGGGCAGTGCTGCCGTTCCCGTTACATAAGGAGAGGTCATGCTCAGAGGTATGAAGTAACTTGGTTGAGGACTCATAGGTAATTCGCAGGAGAATTGAAAATGGAGGCTTCAGGTCCAGACTGCCGTTACTGTCAATGCAGTCTGTAAATCCTGCCTTTCTGAGTGAGAGGTAGCTCATTCAGGCAGAATGGTTAATCTACACACACCTTACTGTGTGTGAGACCCCAGACTGGTCTTGCTTTTCTCTGAGTCCATGATCCACCACTCTCCCGGCTGATCTCTGGCTGGTCTACACTCTCTTCCTGAAGCTCTGGGAGCTCTTAGTGGGGTCTAACATTGATTTCTGTTTCCTTCATACAATACATGTGTGCTTGTGGTGGAGATTGCCTTGTAGGTTCTGACTGTGGTGCAAGGCATTCAAAGGGGGTACAAGTAAGAACGCCTCTCTTTCAAACTGCCTATTAACTCCTGTATTTTCTTTAACTGTTTCCAAAGCTCCAGACCGATGTGAGATGTTTCCCTGGTGTCCCTACCACACATGCACTTTCAGAAATGAAACCTGTGCATTGGCAAGACCTACCTGGAACAGAGTGTTTGGTCCCTGCAGCCTGGCAGGACTCAGAGGAGCAACAGGGCTGAGGCTGCTCCAGAAATGAATGCTAGACAGCAGCGGGCTTGGGGTCAGCAATAATCCATTTGGGGTCTGAAATACAAAAGAACACCCTATGATGCAAACCTCAGGAGTTACAAACCCAAAAGTCTTACGCTTCACCAACTGGCTCTTTTGCCTATGAGTTCAGACATAGAGCACGGCCATCCAGCCCTGCATCCTGTCCCCACGGAGGTCAGTACTGGATACCTGCACATGTCATCTTCCTTCGTGTTGACTTCATTTCTATTGCGATTTGCTGAAGGAGAAGCAGTTACTGTTTATGTGAACCGCGCTCATGTGACCATACAAAACACCCCCTGTCTCTGAACACAGCCTAATCTCCTTCAGAGCCACATTTTACCTTTGAAGAGCAGCAGTTGCTTGAACTGGCTGCAGCTTTTGAAGCATTTGCACATGGAGCCAAGAGAGCTGCTGCCAACCTTTGAAGTTACCTCCTCTGATGGCGCCTGCTCAAAATGAAGAAGTCTGAAGGAACTGGTCTGGGTGCTAGCGGAGGGCACAGCTCATTGCTTGAAAAGAACCAAAATGGCAAGAAGTAAGAATCTAAAGCTTTTCCCAATGTGGAGGTGCCTCCTTCCAGTGCCATGGTGCACAAGGATCACTGGGAATGCTCCCAGCACTCCTAAAGCACTACGAGGGGGGAAGAGTTAAAGCACATGCAAAGCTCCACTCAAAGGAAGAATCGTATCAATTATTCTGTATCCAGAGTAACTTTTATCTTTCCAAAAAAGAACATGAAAGTGATGTGACAGTTCTGAACAAAGAATTTGGCGTAATGAGTTAGTATCACCAGTGAGCTTGATGCCAATTATCAAATCAGTCCTATTTAGCACAGCACTTAATGGAATTTGAGTAAATGCTTAGCAAGTAAGTACGTGTTTCACTGTGTAGGACAAGTCCCTCAGTGCTCTGCTGAACTGGGGCATCAGTTTGTCCAGAGCTTAAGATACGTAACGAGAAGCTAGAAGACAGAGGATAAGGAGTATGTCCCCCTAGTAGCCAGCATGTCGTGCATCCTGGTACCTGCTAGCTTCCCACCAGGCCAGAAATACAAGCTCCCACATACAGCAATTGGTACCAGGGGTCTTAGTTAACTGCTCACACCATGGGCTGTTACATCCCGTTGCCAGGACTCTGTGGTCAGCAGGCTCAGGAAGGCAGGTACCATGGGTCATGGAGATTTTCAGGTATGACAGACATATCCCTTGGAAAGCAGTGCCTGAGGACTGGCTGTGGTGTTGGAGGCTCTACGCAAATGTACAGGAGTACAAACCTGCTCTGACGTGCTTGCACTGGAGTTCACTGGAGGGTCAAGCAATTAATTTAACACCAGCAGAAGAGATGGGAAAGACAAGGAGTGGCAAATTAAGGTCCTCCAGTGATGCTGTCATAAGGTGTCTGAAAGGGTGTTTAATACAAAGAGCTTGGCTGCTCTTGAAGGGAACGGTTTCTCTTAAGGAATCTCGAAGCGGGGTTTATGGAGAAATGTGATGGGAAAGGACACTGCCATCTCCCTTGTGCTGAGGAAGGTGGATCAGAACCACCAAACCCCATGGAAGAAACCACAGTTATGTCCCAAGGATTAATAAATATGTGGTATTGCTGGGAAAGCAGAAGGTGCCATGCACTAGAACAGCAGGTATGGTGGTCACAGGAGTACCAATAAGGTCAGGGTTTGAAAACGGAACTAGATGATCTTAAGGTCCTTTCCAACCCTAACTTTTCTATGATTCTGCGTTTGGATGACATCAAAAGGGGCAAAGAGTGGCCTGGCAAGGAGAAAACTTCTGTCTTGGTCTCGTAAAGTGACAGGTCTGCTCAAGGTATCTCAGCAAAATACTTGACAAGCAAGCCCTTGTGATCAGCTCCCTCACAAACATCTTCTTCCAGGACCACTGTGTTTTCATGGAGCAAGAAAAGAGCAGTACCAGTGAGAGCACCCTTCCTGTGCCACATGACAAGCCGATCTCCACAGGCAGACAGCTGTTGATGGAGATTTACAAGACTAACAAAGAACACACTGAATTAGGTCAGGATAAATACTCAAGAGATCTACTTACAGAAGAGCCTACTAACCTTAGGCGAGGTAAGCAGCACGACCCAACAACAGCTGACTAAGGACACAGTATTGTGCCAACTGTATTTAGAGCTCTGGCAAGCTATGCCTCGGTTATTTGTCTCTGAGAAGTTGCAGATATCCACAACTGAAAATGCAGTTCTTGAGAGCGTCTTCTGAAAGTAATGAATAAAACCTGAGGTGTTTATTCCTACCTAGATACAGTCAGAGCAGGTCTTCAGAGAGACAGGAGGTTTGAAACTGAGCTGTCCTCCATTCACCTCTGGAAGCACATTAACATGCCTAACAACAGTGCTAAGCAAGAGTTCATGTCCTCTGATGATCAGAGTGCTAATGTCTGCAAGTTCTGCCAGAGCCAAGAGCTGGCCACAGCAAGTCTCCAAATCTCTTTAATATTTAATGCAAAAAGAGCACAGAGCCTCCCAGGCTTGTTCTCAGTATTGCCACCAGTCAAGCATCCAAACCACCACAGGAAAAGTAAGTGTAAACACCACCAGAGCACAGGCTATCCTGAAATTACACACGGAAATTGAAGTGTCGCTTTGTTTTGTGCCCTCACGCAGCTGTACGTCTGGTACTCCGTATGGAACCCAATGGGAAGTTCCTGCTTAAAAACCATCATTATAATCTAAGGAACAGCTTAAATAGAAATAATTCATCGCACAGAGAGGATTACGTTAAGTAACAATGCTCATGGCTCCTGACAAAGAATGCACCTAAGTACAATCTTTCTTCTAGCTGTCAGATAACAGACAAGTGCTGTCACGCATACGTTACTTCCCAGGTCATTAGGCACGTGCTGGAGCCCGGATGGTGTATGTGGATACAACACAGACCATGCACGTGCTGGCTGCAGGCACGCTACTTTGTCCATAAGGAAACAGCATGTTGTAAAAGTTACAAACGCTGAAGTAGCAGCCTGAAGAAAAAGAGTAAGTCAAAATTACATATCCACATGGGCGAAGGGAGAGCCAACAAAGTAACAAGCAAAAGTAATCTGTAAAAGAAGCAAGTACTGAACCAAGTCTAAATATCTCTCTTTGAAGCTAACCAAATAGAAAGCTGACATTTCTCTACCGAACTATGGTACTGTATGCACTGACATCTTCAAACCCACTTTGCTGTTCTGAAATTGGTTGTGTGTATTACGTGCCCTTTCACAAGGGTATTCCTCATGGCCAGCAGGTACAATGGAAAGCCACCTGAAACATCCTCTGAGGCAACAGGACCTGTCCTGAGCCTACATCACTCCTGGAGCAGGAGCTGGTGTCTGACATCCTGTTCTGCACCTACCCCTGCCCTTGTAGGTGCCTACCTACCTACCTCAGAGATCGTCTAAGAAATGATGCATGCTCTTCCTAGGATAATGGGATAGACTGCAGATTTCCAGCCTAAATTATGGCTTTAGTTATTTTGCATTATGGTATTACAGCCACAATCATCTATCTACTTCCCTTCTACGTCTTTCAGGGGTAGTAAGTACACCAGTTTATAGATGAATGAGAAAACAAAACATTCAAAGAAATCATTACAAAATGAGGAAATGAATCTCTGTTCATACTGAGTTTTGGAGCAGCAATAAATTAAAACCAGTTTGTAATAACTCATGTTGTCAGTCATTGTGTCTGCTTGGCATCTGATGTGATTTGTCAGATTTGCTCCCTACGAGCAAAATACTGTGGTTATACCACAGTTAGAGGTCATGAGAGTCTGTCAATGCACCCCAATTTTGGCTTGCCACACTTCCATTCTTCCTGCCAAGCATAACTTCACTTCAAGGCTTCAGAGTGTCAAAAATGACAGATAACGGCCCACAGAATCCTCTGCCTTTGCAACACAACCTTGGTATCTTGGTGGCTTACAGGTGTGTGAACTGCAAGTAAATGACAGCTTGTAACACACCACCACCACCACCACCCCTTTGTGTTTATTTATTTACTTTCAGTTTGTTGCATTCAATGCCAGTATTTGCATTTTTATTGGGGAGGATGGGAGAGACGCTGGGAGTGTTCCTCAGTGGGATAATTTCACTCTTGGGTGTTTTGGTCTCCTTTTGCAGCGGTAGCAGCTCACCAATGCACACACCAGGCCATTGCCTATGTGATTTTCCTCTTCCCCTCTGACCTCCTACATTTTTTTTCCTAGACTTGCTTGAAAAATGTGCCACTGTGATTGCACAAATGTGATTAAAGAGAACAAAATAACCTCCTGGTTATTCAGCAGGCCTGTGCTGAAAGGAAGCTCTGGCAAGGCCTCTGTGGATGCACAAAACTTTGGAAATTGGAACTGGCTTACGAGCCTGCCTTAGAAAGTACTTAATTTACTCTGTATTCAAAAGCTAATGAAAAGGTCGCACTGTCTGAAACCCAACCAAGCATCCCACAGGGCACATGCTCAAGTCATGACCTACAAAACCCTTGTGTTTTTCTTGTTGGATTTTTCCTGCTTGTTTTGTAGACCTGGTTTGAACTGACAAGCGATTCGCTCATGCTCACTAATGGCTGCCCATCTTGTTATCCTTCCAGGCAGTCTGTGAACTGTGACAGCTTTTCCCACACTCACATAGGAACCCCAGGAAGAACCTACTTTCCACTCTTTTTTCAGACCTCTGCTATGTTGCCCTCTTCCCCGTATGTTGGTTTTTGTCCCACCAGGTGGACAGGCGCAAAGAGGTAACACTCCTGGCCACACGGAGGGAATACCTGGCTATAGCAAGAGTACAGGAGACAGGCAGGTCTCACCTGTGCAGTGAAGAAAGCTGGAGTCAGGGATCCTGAAGGAAGTGCAGGGCTGTTGAGGGCGATGGAACCGATGTCAGTACTGGAAAGGACCATAGGTGGGGCAGAGATTTCCAAGCCTTTGGGTTTTTTAGCCTTTGGGGGAAGAGATTGAGATTTTGCCTTGGAGCCTGAGGAGAGGTTCAAAGGCTCAAGGGAATCTGAGTCGTGGCAACTGGAATCAAGGAAGAGGCTCCTGTGATCTGCAGGGAGAGGTGAGGTGGGAGACAGAGACGGTGACCGGGAGGAAGATGATGACGATGGAGATGAAATGCTGGCACTGTTGGGTAGCATTAAGGAAGATATTTTAGCTGATACTGATGAGCTGAGAAAAGCAGAGGCAGCTGCTGTTTCGGAAGTGGAAGGCAATGACACCATGGACCTCATAACTTGTTTGTCTGTTTTGTTTGTCACAAATCTGATGACAGTCCGAACCTCTTCCACTGGTGTGTTTCCTTCTGACTTCTCCTCCAGTTTTTCTGTTTTGATTGGCTTGTAAGGGTCTGGCTGGTTCTGCAGAGAGTTGATAGTGAAAGAGGAGTACAGGCCAGAGTGGATATATTCATTACGGCTTGTGCTTTTCAGTGCTGACAAGCTGTGCTTGTGCTGATCCCTGCTCTCGGAAGGCATCTTACAATCGCTGTCCTGCAGCAAAAGGCTCTCTCTGCTGATTTCCACAGCATGTGGATCCATTTTTAAAATCTCAGGAAAGGAGACAAACTTGTACACAAATTTTTGTCCAATCACTTTCTTGATGATGTTCTGCAAACACAAAAGCAGATGCTAGAAAGATCAGCATTTTAGAGGCACCAAGTACAGCAAACATAAGGGAGCTCACAAGAGTAGGGGGGCACTGCTCCCTTCTCAAGCTGAGCAGGTCATTCCATGGGGCTCCTAACACTGTTCATCCTTGGCTCATTCCCATACCTCTGCTCAGCCAGAGAAACCATCTCTGCTCCACATGGTGCCTAACAAAATCACCATTACTGCGTGATACAGACCTACTGGTGGGCTCTTTCCCCCACCCCACCCCCCCCCACACTTCTGCTGAGGTAGCTTGGGAATGTTTTCTTTCCAATAGAAACAATCCTGCCACCTTGAAGGCTCAAGACATGCCACCATTTGAGTTTCACAATGAAGGCAAATTTCCTCATCTGTGCCTCCCAGAAATGACACCAACTACCCTGAGTGAAATATCTCAAAAGGACAAAACCACTTGACCTAGGCTGACAGTGACCTTTCAAGAGTCAAGAACAATGTCTCTGACAAATGCAATCACTTGCATGGGTTGGAAATGTACTGTATGCCCTGTGCTGTCTTCAGGTTTGAATGAGGGTGAGGATGATCACTGGTGCAGACAGGTGCTTTTCATCAGTCTAAAGTGGCCACTGAAATTAATTATTAAACAAAAAAAAACCCAAACCACTCAAGGGTTTGTAGAACTATTTAATTTTTCTTCATATTTATCACAATAAAACTGTCCCTTTATGGAAAGAACTGATTCCCTTTGAAATTGGAATCTCTCATGAGGGCCCTTTTCCCAGTCCTAGCTCTCTTCCTGCAAACCCGGGTACACTGCCTGCTCTAGCACAATGCATGGTATCCCCAAGGACACGATGTGAGCTCCTCCAGAGAGACACTTTATGGCACCAGGTGCTGGCTTAGCCTAAGAATGGGCCTGGAACATTTCCCACCCTAAGCCAAGTGCTGTGGCAGATAAGAGGCAGTATTTCCTGAGATTTCCATAGTGATTTCTCTCTTCTCGAAGGTCTTGATGGAGAGCGTATCTTTAAGCCACCTGTGAAAACCCCTTTTCCAAGAAGCTTCCCTTTAGTGCAGCACATCTGCTGCACCTCCAGGTTATACTCTGCAAACAGACATCTGCTTTGCTGTATATATGGGAATGTAAATACCTACAGGATTCCTAAAAGTCTAATTTGTTTTTCATTCTATCACAGATCCTGAGACCAGAAGAGGAAAGATTTGTTAAACTGATTGAAAATAAAAAGAAAAATCAATACAAAATCACCCCTATTTATATATGGGTAGTACCCAGTGTTTGCAGTGCCCACACTACACCTCTTTGTCACAAAAGCAAGGCTCAGTTTGGGAAACAAAAGTCTGCACTTGAGTACTGGAACCTTTTCTGTCTTTCAGCCGAGCTGCTGCACTCTGTAATTCATCTATCTGAATGTCCTGACATTTCATCCAGGCACCTTCCTGAATACGAAACTAATGCTACAAAGAGCCCTGGGATGTAGCTTTGCTTCACAGGTCAGGAGCTACGGCACAAATGCAGAAAGTTGTTTCCCAAGTTGATAACAGGGATCTGTAGCAAGGAGGAGAATCAAATACAGCAAGTTCAGACTAAAGGTACAAAACTGCTCTCTTCCATGCCAAACTGCACATCTACCCACCTGATGGATCCTGCAATGCCTACTTTAGCCCTCTAAAAGTTCAGTCAGCCTGCAGGATCTGTCTGCATGAGCTGTAATTCCCAGGGGTTAGACATTTTTGGCCTAGATACATTTTTTTCATGCTAAGTAGGTGAAACATTGGATGGACACGGTTCTTCTGCACCCAACGTTACATTCTTCTTGAAATAAGGCAAAACCTCCAAACTATTCACATACCCAAACAAACATCCCAACAGGGTCTGGTTTTCTTTTTTAACTATCTCTCTCTTTTTCTTTAAATTATTATTTAAGATAAAAACTCCCTTCTGCTCCTGGCAGCTTTGAGTTATTGTTACATCAAGCAGTGCCAACAGAGATCTTACTTGGAAAATGTGATCAAGCAGCAAAAGATTAAATGTATTTGAGGGTGGCACTTCTATACCAGTGCAGGCTTGAAACACAGAAACATTGCTATAAAAAGCAACTGAACGGGCTGGTGAGTTTATACTTCCTCTGTTATTATTAAATATAGTGGTATTTTTAGAAGGTCTCAGTACAGCTCCTCTGACCCCCTAAGCCTGCAGCAAAGGCCCACTTAATGATGCCTGGAGATTAAAAGGATTCTAGTGCAGATCCCACAAGCACTTTGCAGGCTTCTCTTAAATGTGGAGCCTGAGGGAATCTCCATCTGCATGTAAGAGAAAATAAGGACGCAAATTAAGTAAGTGCCTCCAAAATGCCACTGACTTCCCTGAATAATTGAAGGTAAAGAGCAGCTGATTTTTACCATCACCTCAGTGATCTGTCAGAACCATCCTGAGCTGTGGACGACGGTTCAAACCGCAGAAGACAGTGACAGGCATCATGACAAGCAGGGGTTCCACCACCCTCAGTTTGAAAGGGCAAAGATGTTTTCCTTGTCTAAAGACTGTGTTTGCAGGACTGGTAAACCACGTGCTCAGTAGCAGGACATACAGTAAGTGTATGTGCACATTTAGCCTGTTTGTTATTTGCGTTTCCTAGGTAGGTCCCTCGTGAGCAGGCCTGCAGTGAGTGCTGGTGTCTGCGCTGGCAGGGATGGTGACTGCTGGGGCAGTGCAGCTGCTGGGGAGGAGAACTGGGCAGCAGGAGCAGGGCTCCAGTCCAACAGCTTAAAAAAGGGTAAATCTTATCAAGAGACAGAACTCTCTGGCATCCAGAAAGAGGGCAGGAGCTGGGAATGCCACCCTTCCCTTGGCTTCTTGACTGGTCCTCACTTGAATGCTTTACACTTCCCCTCTTCTGTCCCCAGTCTGTAAAACTGATGACAGCAAATGTAAGTACCTGCCACTGCTAAGTGTTTGAAAGCTGCCAATACAAATAGTACAGCACTGCCTGATGTCTGCTCTAGCACAGCAGCCGTTAGGGAGCTCAGACTTACTCACACCACATCACTTCAGACCCTCAGTTCATGCACCTCCAAACCCAGCCTTACCCAAGTGCTGTAAATCAATCGGAGGGATAGGGCTCTCTCCCCATCCTTCTCCACAGACTAGCTGGCTGAGCTAGATGCCAAAGGCTCAGTGGCCTGGTTCCCCCTGCAGCTTAAACCAGGCTATAATGTGGTTGGAGCACTACTACTTTAGGAAGCCTTCCCAAAATACACAGGAGCCGTTTGCCCGTCTCAACAGCATATGACCTCTGAGTTTCTTTCCACTTTTTTCTTTGTTCCCAAAGTTTCCCTGCGCATTGGTACAACTCAGACTTCATTTCCACTATCATGTTTTTGCGTTTTATTTTCATCAGCTCTGACTCTTACTTCCTGTTTGAGCCATCTAGAGCTAAGGTATAACTATATGACCAGTGTGACACAGGGATTTTAGTGGCTTGGCTCAAACCTGCTAGCTAGCAAGTTTTCTGGCTGCAGGAGCCACTTGGGAGACTGAGCTGGGAAATGGGACCCAGTTCCTAGTTGAACTTCAGACTAATGTGGGGCCTCAGGGGCTGGAAGACCAGACGGGGACTTTTTTCCTCCTCCCAGGAACTGACCTGAGAACTCAAACTCATCAGAACAGGATAAACTTGTCTGCAGGTATCAAACATCCCTGCTTGGGAAAGAAGGAGAAGGACCAGAACTGTAGCTGCTGCACTTAACTCCCATTTGGATGTGTTGCACATTTCCTAGCTCCAAGAGTACTGAGGGATGCAACATATGCAGGGATGCTTAGGCTATGGATTCCTCACAGGACTCTATCAGGAGGGAGCCAAGACTACCTCCAAGCACTGGGAACCCTACCCAGAGAGGGCTGCTCACAGTCCAATATCTGAAGTACGTATGCTGGTACCTGTGGCTGCACAATTTGCTTTAAAAAAGAGGGGCCGTGTGTCCACATCAGCATGTGCAGGCAGGCAGATTCTGTTTATGCGCTCTGCTTATTACACTGTGTGTAGAAGCTAGATTTCTGTAAAATGTTTAATGGAGACACAGGTGCTACCAGCTTGTGCAGCTATGCTGAGCTTTGGAAGCACAAGGTGCTCATTTAGCTGGATTTCTGTCTTTCCTTACCCACCTCCATCTGGAAGACAAAGGCTATTCCTCTGGCTGGCACCTTTGGTCAGGTTCCCTGCTTTCACTGCTGCAGTTCACGGTAAGTCCCTTTCCTCTCACATCAGACATGAGCTATTTGTCACTCCTTTCAGAGAAGCTCTTGGGTTTTCTCCTCTACCATCACCTTACTGAGTATCAGATTCTTTACTCCCATCTTTCCATAAGGACAGCACTCAATAACCACTTCTATGCCATTTCACACAAGCACTTTCTTGACTTCCGCACACTGTTTTTGAACAAAGCTCCTTCCACTTCTCAATAAAGCTATTTTCTAATGCTCCTTCAAGTATCTCCTTGTAACATCTCCTACCTGTACCACTACAAAATGTAGAGCTGCTACTCTAGCACCATCATATCCCGTTCTTTTATTGTAATGTTCTTTTTCCCTGACATAACTCAAAAGAAGACCTTCCCAAAAGTAAAATAAAAGTTTTCTTTATTCGTTTATACCCTGAAGTTCTCTAAGCAGACCAAGCAAGGCCCCTCTTCCCAAAACAATTATTCCACACTGCCACCCACACTTGGGCATTAAAAACAGGATGAGTGACCAAGCTACTGGGTCTGACTTGTTAAAGAAGGGAATGCCATGGGCTCCTCTGAATCCTAAGAGCATGAGAAGCTCTGTCCCCTGAGCACTGCAACAAGCACAAAGAAGCTGGTATTATTTCTATTCTATACATCATACTGCCAACCTATCTGCATAAGCGGGCAGCCGTTAACCAAAACTAGAATGATTTATTCTGTCTTTAGAAGACAGACTGAATAGCACTCACTGAGCA